TACTTATAGGTTAGGTTATCTTAAAGGTGAACTGTGAAGTGCAAAGTACTAGAGGTAGTAACTAAGTAATAATATGCAAATTAATCGCGAAGAACTAAATACATAATGGCAAACGAGTGTCCTTATATATCTAGTCCTTCCTATTAGGCGATAAGCCGGAACTCATCACTCGATACTATCCGGACTTATTAGTAGATAAGTCGAGCTTATCACTCGATAAGTCGTTACGTGATTGCTTATTTAGGTAGTTCGTTACGCTAGACAATTTCTGGTATATATATAGCTATACACATAGGATATTATCCGCCCTAAGGACACGGTGTCCTTAATCACCCTAATCGATCACTGATCGTGAGCGTATAAAATGCCCTTTTTACATAGACCCACTTTACTCCTAGGAGCACCTTTCTACGTGATCTTGCTCCTAGGAAGCATATATGTAATGCTTCTTATTAGTTACACGTGACTTCTGTAGGTGTCGTCCTTCTTACGGGTTTAGTTAGCTATCGTTATCCCCCGCGGGTTTCTAACGGTCTACCTCGTAACATTATCCCCCCTCTTCTTACGCCGGTATCCTTAGCGGCTATAAGTAGCGTAGTTCCTAGTTCGCTCGTACGTATGTTTCTGTTTTCTTATTTTCTTCGTGATATCGTCCTATCGTACTAACCATGTCTTCTAAGGCTTCTGTCCGTAAGAACGCCTTAACTCGTCGGATCGAGGACGAAGGTTTTCGATCCGCTATTCCTTATAAACGTTACGTTCGTCTAAAGAGAGTGTGTATCCGTGCCGATTGTTCCGACCGCTATAGTGATTATATCCGTGGCGGTAGAGGAGTAAAGTACACGATATTAAATCCTACCTTTACCGATGCCGAATAGAGGCGGTTAGTAAAGTCTTAAAACTCCTTAGAGGAGGAGGAAGAGGCTATCCTTCTTTAGTAATAAATAATATTAGCTAAGTTGGCTCGTCTTCGAAAGCAAAAACGCTTATTATAAAAGCGTACCGGTGATTTTATTGCTCGGGACTTTAAGGAAGTTACCGAGTTAGAAAAACTCGAGCGTCGCGAGGTTAAAAAGCGCGAGCGCCTCGAAAAAGAGCGTATTAAGTCTAAATAAAAAGATCGTGAGGCAGAGAGTACTCGGGCCGCGAACGAGGTTCCTTAATCTACTATAACGGTTAATAACCGTATTCTTACGGCGACGTTAGAGGATCCTACTCTAACTTAGTTATTGAATGATCCTTTATTTTCCTAGGCCGACCTAGACGCTTCCTAGCTTAGTGAAGTGCCCGGGTCCCCTTTCCCTATTAGTGGAACTATCGAACTAGCTAGTGGTAGCCTATTAGGTTCTCGATAGGTTCCTATATATTTTCCGAGGTATCGTATCCCTTCTATTTTACTAAGTAGTGAGGTCTTCCGCTGATTTTATTAGTATCTAGGATTTCCTCGACCTTATATTCGTTTTCGGATACTTCTTTAACTTTAATATTAGTAGCGATTTCGGCGTTCTTAGGTGCTCTCTCTAATAATAAGATATGAAATATTATATAGATACGTCGTATGCTGTTAGGTAGCTTAAGTCGATAATTAAGTGGTCCTGTTTTTTCTTTAATTTCGAATAGTCCTAATTTAAGGTGGTCGAGTTTCGTACTAGGTCGTCTAGTGCGAATGTTGCGTCGTAAAAGGTAAACTTTCTCCCCCCTTTAAAAGTCCGGCGCCTCCTAGCGCGATTAGTTATAGTAGAACTTTATACGTACGTTGAGAAACTCGATGTCCCTTAAAAGTTAGAGATATATTTACTTTAACCTAGTCGCTAGTAGTCGAGATAACTCTACGAGTGGTCGCTTACTAATTAGTTCTCCGAGAATAGTGGGATTAAACCTATAATTCGCGAAGAATGGTGTTTCTTTCGTGATTACGTGTATTATATTATTGTATATAAATTGTGCTATTAGTAGTAGTCCTATCTAGTCGTTTTACTAGTAGTTTATATAGTGTCGTAAATACTACTCTAGAGTCTAGTTAACTCTTTCCGTTTATTTATTAGTTTGCGGGTGGTACGCGGTAGAGAGTCTATACTTAATACCGAGTTAGTCCGCTAGTGATTACTATATATTAGATATGAATAACTTATCTCTATCCGAGGTAATCTTACTCGGTGTCCCGTGGTGAACGAATACTTACCGAAGTAGTATTTATGCTATTCGCTACGCGTCGATACTCTCCGTTATTAGGATTATATATATATATTTAGTTAGTCGGTCGACGACTACTATAATTATATCGTTACCTTCCGAAATAGGTAGTTTCGTGATAAAGTCTATAGTGATCCATTCCTATAGTCGTTTTAGCACTTCCGCTAGTTCTATCTCTCCGTATAGTGTATATCGCGATGTCTTGTTTCGCTAATATAAGTCGTATTACTAGATGTATTTTTTAACTTTTCTATAAAGTGCTAGGATATAATAGTTTCGTGTGATTTTCTCGACGGTTTTCTTAATTCCTAGGTGTCCTTATATAGGTTCGTCGTGATATAATTTAATGATTTCCGTTTAAAGGTTTCTAGGAACGTATACTAAACTATAGATATAGACTAAGCCATTCTTAGTTAGTGCGGTGCTATTACCTAGAATCTTCTTTATTAATTCGTTATTAGTTATTGCTTCTCGGATCCTCTCGATCTATTCGTCGCTTTATAGTTCGCTAGTCGCTACGAGTATTTAGTGATTATAGACGATATTCCCTTCTTGATCCGTGGTTAGGATTACGGGTACTACCTCCTTAGTTCTAAGTTCGTAGTCCGGCCGTCGACTTAGCGCGTCCGCTACTACGTTCTTAGTTCCCTTATAGTGTACGATTTTAAAATCGTATTAAGCTAGTGTCTCTGCGTATCTAGCTTATCGTCGTGTAAGTTTCTTTGTCGTTATAAAGTAAGTTAAGTTATAGTGGTCCGTTCTAACTATTATAGTATACTTAGCTCCTTCTAGGTATACCCTCTATATTTAGAATGCTAATACTATAGCTAGTAGTTCCTTATCGTGGATATCGTAGTTAAGTTCTGCTAGGATTATCTTACGAGACTAGAAAGCGATAGGTCTAAGCTTACCGTCCTTTCCTAGTTATATAAGCTATACTCCGAGTGCAAAATCTAATACGTCTGTTTCCACGATGATCGGTACGTCGTAATTAAATATTGCGATAATAGCTTCTCCTACTTTCTTATTATATATTTCTTTAAGTGCGGTGAATAACTTCTCTACTTTATCGTCCTATTTAAATAGAACTCCTTTTGTCAGCCTATGTGGGTGTGTGGGGGTATATGCTTATGTGTGTGTGCTTATGTGTTGCCTGAGGGCCCGGCAGCCTGCCGGGCCGGACTATTGTTTTTCCCCTGTAGAAAGCCCCTCTATATGCATCTCTTCAACAGAGATATCGACCATGGCCTAATTGGCTATTTGACTAAGGATCCCGACGTCCTTTCTGCACATTTCTATCCTGCATTAAGATCTATCAGATTATTAGATCTCTGCCCTATTTCCTTGCTGCCTAAACCACTGCAAATCGTGTATTTAAACGCTCGTTTACACCACTGTTTAGCCAGCAGTTCAATCGACTTTAATGTTCTCAAGACATTCTTTCCTTTCCTAGACAGTAGGATCCTATGACCAAGAGGAAGCTACTGCCTAGTCCCCTTTCGTCCTATGTGGATCAGCCCCCGATACACTAGGATCTGTCAGTTATGAGCCCGACCGTCTCAAACTAGACCAAAGACCTTAACCCCCCGACCGACGGCCTTGACTTTGACCAATCAGATCGCACGATTTGCGGAATTCTGTTGGTTTGGCCCTTCTTGCCGGTCGCATACCTTTGACCTTTGATCTTATACCTTCTATCTTGTTTACTTGACAAATTTGTTCTATTCTATCTTTTCAATTGCTTCCTACCTACCATTTGCCACTATGTCAGAAACAAACTGGCTGGTCTTCCAGCTGAGGACCTCAGCCGATTGGATTCAGTGGTATGCAGCAGTCAAAGACCAAGCAATTACGTGGGGACTATAGGTCTACATAAACCCCGAAGTGGCAGTCGAATACCTTAGGCAGCCACCTGAAGAACCAGAGTACCCTACTGCTAGTTTACTAGGAGATCTTCCTAATTTGGCAGGTGACGCTCTAACACGCTACAATCTTATCCTACGCGACTATGACCGCCAACTAGACCGCTTCCGTCACTACCAGAAATCAATTGACCGTCTGAAGCAAGGGATTCGTAACTCAGTTTAAACTGATAACAAACGACTAATCCTGTCACAATCCTCTCTGCGTGACGTTATCAACATGTTTCGTCTAATGTATGCGCCTACAAATTCATCTCGTAAGCGCCAGGTTTCTAAGAACTGGTCAAATCTGCGCACACAGCCGCCGCCAAAGACTAATTACGATGAATGGGTTCAGAAGTGGCTGATTTGCTACACTGAAGCTAGAGAGATTGGCCTATCTGAATTCGAGGATACTGAGCGAATCATCTACGAGTTCCTTGAGGCAATTGCCCCACTGTCACCTAGTTTTGTTACTGTTTGGATGAATCGCATCCACGAGCAAAGCGGCGTCTATTCGTTCGGCGTTTTACCAGAGTTTCCCGCCCTCATCAATCTCTATGCAGAGTCTATCCGCCTAGCTCCGC